GCTCCATTGCCCTCTCAGGGCCAGCATTAGGGGATGCGCGGGGCTAAGTCTTGTGTCAAAGAGAGGTCGTGCCGGTGCTCACGGCAATCTTCAATTGAAATGAAGCCCCGTGAAATTGCGTGAATGGCTGTAAGGATCAATGTACGTGAGGGGCTTCCTTTATTTTATATCTACAACAAAATGTAATGATGTACTGTGCTGTACAGCAAAACATGGGGGGGGAGGAAGACGAGGCGAGAATAAGAAGATGGACTCTACAGCCTGGTCCAGATGTCTTGTGACCCCAATTTAATTCTCTAAAACGTAATATTTTGAAAGTAAAGGTTTGTTTAAACAAAAAACGAACGTGCAAAGGAAATTATTTTTTAGGGGTCCATTCATTAGGGGTCACAAGACATCTGGACTAACGTGTAAAGTGATTTATCCCTATAAACCCTGTCAACATTGACCATTACTAATGACTATTGTTCGCGCAGAGGCCTCACAAACCCCGGTCTCCGTGGCCCTCCACCAGCCGTGATGCAACTTCATTTTATTCTGCCGACAGTGCTCGTTAAAAAACAAGAAACGAGCGCATAGCAGCGCACGTTGTTGCAATTGACGAATGCATCGACGCGCTGGGTTCGCCGGGATTGCTGCGAGCGTGCAGCTTGCATCGGAGGAAGTTTTACAGCTCCAGTTCACAGGCGGCATCGGTGATTGTTCTTCCCGATGCTCAGACTGGTGGTCTCTGGCAAGGGGCCGTCCATAAATGACGTCACGCGATTTTGGACGGTTTTTTGACCCTTCCCACCCTTCGTCGCACGGCGTCACAAAAAGCCAGATCCCCCCCCTCAAATATGACGTCACAAAGCTCTGCCCCCTCCCCCCCCAAAAATAAAACCATGCTTCACTATTGTCATTGTAGTGCGTATTTAACGTGGCGCTGCACTCTGATGTTGTAGGAGAAAACATTTATTAAAAAGTCTTTAATTAAGTAGAACGTGTTGTCTATATCTATTTAAAGTTGTGCATTTTGATGTGACGTCACAGTTTCTCAACCCCCCCCCCCCCTTCAGCACACATCGTCACAAATGTCTGACCCCCCCCCCTAGGTGCGTGACGTCATTTATGGACGGCCCCCAAGGGAATATGGGATTTTTTTGACCGCTGGCTCCACACTATACCAGTGGAGGTGATGACTGCCTTCTGCTCATTTGACCACGACGATACTTGCGTTTTTTACTTCTGCACCTATGCACGATACTTGCAAATGCGCATACAGTGACTCCTCTACTTACGAACGAGTTAGGTTCCAAAGGTCTGTTCGTAAGCCACTTTGTTCGTAAGTCCATCGATTCCAAACATGTTGTACGGCATGTACACTCAACACGGGGAATGGCTTTAAGAGTTGTATAATCTCCTGTAGATGTAGATGCCACTGGTTTTTCACGTTCTGTAGATGTAGATGCCACTCTATTGCGTGGTGGTTGAACTTACGAATCTCGGTCTGAACAGGAAACTGGACATACAGACAGGCTTGTTCGAATCTCTGAAAAGTTCGTGAGTCGAATGTTCCTTCCCCCTCTGCACCTCCGATTAGCACGGTCGGCTACGTACGGCGCGAAAGAAGTTCAACCGTACTCGTGTACACATACACGTTCGCCTCATCACCAGACTTGACAACAGTGACAACGACAGCATCGAGCAGAAGGACTTGCGGTGACATCGGCGACATTTTTTTCTTGGTTCTTTCGGTAAAGTCACGTAGAATGGAAATAATAAAATAAAAATAAATAAAAATAAAAACGTGACTTTACCGAAAGAACCAAGAAGATGAATCCCTGCAATCACGAAAGTTTAAATCGAAATCGGCGACATTAGCTGTGATGATGACCTCTGCACCTTGACGCAGTATAGACTCACACCACAGCAAATATATCAGACGACGTTTCGGTGCAATGGCTCCTTCTTCATAGCACATTTTTTAAAAATATATAAAAATTCGGCACGTGACTATTCATCACCGAATGATCCCCAAAAATGTCACAATTCAGCGTCGTGATTAATTAGATAAGCTTATTTAATTTTCATGACCGTCTCGTTTTTATTGTTGATGTGGTTTTTTTTGCGTCTCGTTTCTACATTTTTAAATCCTTTATATTAAGTTCACTTGCTTGCGCGCTTACGACCGTACAAATCTTTCGGTCGTTTTTTAACACACTTCCCGTGATCCAATCAAGTTGACATTTTGCACACAGACTCGTTGTGCGTGACAATGTATTTTCGTGAAAATTTTTTCCAAAATTTTACACTTTTTAGGAAAAAATAAATTATATTTAATTACCAATTGCTTAATGGTGGCAGGCAATCATCTTACCCATAGGTGGCAGCCATCTCAAGCCAGAGGACGAGAGGACTCTAGCCGCCACGCATATAAATGATTTATAGTGAAAACGTTGTTTTTACGGGTTAATTTTTGTTCACTCATTTAGCGTACGTGTAACATACGTGTAACATTGCGTGTATAATTGTATACACGTTGTAAACAACGCTCACCATTAGATGCTGCGCATATCTGAGAATGCACGAGTCAACTTTAAAGTTGGCGAATCGGTGCGTCGTTGCAGGACCTACCAACTCGCCAACACCGCTTCGCAGGGGGGGGTGGGGGGGCTTGTTGGGCACAATTCACCAATTGCACGTGCACACGCGAAGGCTATTTCGTGCCCATTGTACGAAATCGGGTCCACCAACAGAGATTAAGCATCGCACCATTGTTCATGTTGAGCAAAGGGACGCATTGACTGTGAAACCACCTTGAGGCTCTTGAAATTTTACACGGCTTTGATGACTTTGGTTTTTTTACCGGGATCCCAAACCCATTGTGTGCGCTGCGGATATAACCTCGGTGGCAGCCAGGGGAGACACTTGAGGTTGGTGAGGTGATGTATTCTTGTGAACCAGTGCTTTGGATGCAATGTGAGGTGGCCAGGAGGTGACATCGCAAGAAGTGAGTTCATGAAACCATCCGTGCGGACATTTGAGCGCACGCATCTAGGGGGGGGGGGGTGGGTCAGACATTTGTGACGATGTGTGACGAGGGGGGGGGGGGGTGAGAAATGTGACGTCACATCAAAATGCGCAACTTTAAATAAATATAGACAACACGTTCTACTTAATTAAATAGACTTTTTAATAAATGTTTACTCCTACAACATCAGAGTGCAGCACCACATTAAATACGCACTACAATGACAATAGTTTAAAGCGATTTGAAGCATGTTTTATTTTGGGGGGGGGGGGGGCAGAGCTTTTTGACGTCATATTTGAGGGGGAACTGACTTTTTGTGAGGCTGTGTGACGAGGGGGGGGGGGGGTCAAAAATCGTCCAAAATCGCGTGACGTCATTTATGGACGGCCCCTAAACCACCCCACCCGAGAATGACATTCCCCAAGCATCCCATCGCAGGACCCTCCTGAAAAGAAAAGAGTCTTGAGACTCAGTGAGGCTTTCGTTGATAAACAAATAACATTATTGGTATTCATAAACGAATGCAATATTGGCAATGTATATAAAAGAAACCCCACCGCGTTATAAGTTTGTCTAAACACCAAAGGCTGTAAAACACGCCACACTTAGCGTCGCCATTTAATTATGCACTATTTGAATTATGCAATAGCCACTTATGGAAAATGATAGTTTAATTTCCCCACTCCAGTATGCACGAAACTCATCAGGACGCTGTGTTAATGTTTAAAAATGTATGCAATAGCTCACTTTATTACGGGCATTCATCATTTAGCCCAGTTCCTCTGCGGACAGTTCATTTGTCAGACGTGCGTGTTCTGCATGTAACACGGAGCGCAGCAAAACTTTACTACGTTAACCGATATTAACTAATGTTCACCAACATTACAGCAGCATCTGCATTGGTCGCCGACGTTAGAGCATTGCTTTCCGAGGTTTTAGAATCTCGACGCAGGCCTTATGCTCGACAGCATTTGGCTGTTGTGCATGTTGAACTTCTTTCGCACCGTACGTAGCCAACCGTGCTAATCGGAGGTGCGGGGGAAGGGCAATAAACTAAACACCAAAAAGAAATGCGGAGACAGCGGCGGTCGCTGGATCGGTCAGATGGTGTTCGTGAAACTCCCTTCACGTTGACGTCCATCAGGTCGCCGTGCCCTGGCTCGCCGGCAGAAGACGGCACGGCAAGGGGACCAATCTCCATCGGTCTCCATCTGTACGGGGACAGGGCTGGGTGCTCGGCTTTCCTCCCACGTGGTTTTAATGAACGCAACTCATCATTAGTTGACTCAAAACATCTTCAGATACACATCCAATGCGGGACTCTCGTACTTTGGAGGCATAAGCAATTAGAAAACGACACTTACTACCCATGAAACAAAAAAAATATTTTTTTGTTACACAGTGTAATCGTCTCGCTGATAGGAGGCGTCGTTCAAATTTCGCGGATAACAGGATCGCGGATTATCGGAGTTCTCCCACCCCACCACTCCCCCTACCAAAGACAAAGATACCCCGTATAGCCTGCAGCAGACTGTTGGGGCAAGTGCTGTTAGCGAGTAGCACCTATGAAGGCCAGAACGGCACACGGAGGGTGTGTGTGCCCAGCACCACGCCCGGCGGCCTTTGTATCTCCCCAGTGGCGATGTTGTTTTACACACACCCAACCAGGCCACTCATTTGAGGCTGAGTCGACCTAGGGGAGACCCCCAGGACCGGTTCAGATAAAATCGTCACTCGGTGTTGGCCGTGAGCGGGCAAACGAACCCCCCCCCCCTCAACCCCCCCCAATCCACCCCCCCCAATCCTCCCAATCCCCCCCCTCAGCCCCCCCCCTCAACCCTCCCTATCCCCCCCCCTCAGCCCCCCCCCTCAACCCTCCCAATCCCCCCCTCAGCCCCCCCCTCAACCCCCCCTAAACCCCCCCACCACCCCCACCCCCGTGACGTCACGCCCGTGCTAACCAATGGGCGCGGGGCCGGGGACTTGCGAGTAGCAGCGGCAGCAGCAACAACAATGGCTGCGCCGGGCTCGGGCTCGCCGCTGCTGCTGCTGCAGCCGCTCAGCGTCTTCCTCGGGCTGCCCGTGGACCAGGTGAGAGGCGGCCGCCCTCCTCCTCCTCCTCGTCGTCGTCGCGGGTTGCCCGGTGTACCCCCCCACCCCCCCCACTATCTCCCTAGCGACCTTTATCAGCCTCTGTGTTGTTGTTGCTGCTGCTGCGCGGTGCGAGACGCGAACTGCGTGGCCGTGATGAAACGTTGGCGATGAGGTGATGATGATGATGAGGTGATGCTGATGATGATGGTGATGCTGCTGCTGCTGCAACGTTTTGACGGTGGGCGAGCCATCCCCTTGCGCCCCCCCCCCCCCCCAACACGATGCGTGACTCAGAGTCGAAATTTTCCTGTCGCTCGCCGCGTGGCCATCAACATGAAGGCAGGTGGCTTCGTAGCGGAGTGCGCCTCTCGCTGTGGTGTCACGGCGACCCCACGCAGTCACTCGGGGATGCCGACCCCACAGCAGCAGCAGCAGCAGCCGCTGTTGTTGCTGCTGCTGCTGCAGGCTTGATGAGGGTGGGTGGTGGTGGCGGCACGGTGTGCGAGCGAGAGAGGAAGACTTGAGAATATTGAGATATTCACTGCGGGATGAGGGCCATGTCGGTGGGGTTGTAGTTTGACCATACTTCACCACGCTGTTCGATGCTGGCACGATGACCTTCGAGATGAAGGCGAGCCCCCAGGGACCGGCTCAGGTGTGAAACTCCTCACCGATGTTGACCGTGGCCTGGAGTCGAACTCGGATCCGCCGTGCTGCTTGAGATGCCTCACGGAAGGGTGAAAACCGCTGCCACGCCACCGCTTTTGGGCCGTGCGATCAACAATTGAAGGGCATCCCCCGTGGTGTGTAGCAGAACACCTCCGATAATTATAGAGCAGCAGAGAGAAGATGTCAACAGCGCCGTGAGACGTCGAGATCGCAGCAGATCTGGTGCACGTGTCACTGTGCACACAGCTAGCAGCCACCCCAATCGGGTTGACACAGTAAATTTAGCTGTCACGGTCCCACCTGAAGACGGAGACTTGTGTTGCCTCCGAAACGTCGTGATTTAAAATATTTATTATTATTTTATTTCTATAAATCTATTTTATTATTTAATGTTACCTACGTGACTTTACCGAAAAAAACCTAAGAGTATGAATCCTTGCAGTCATGAAAGCTTCAAATCTAGAACCCATATGGTTTGCCAGTATTCTTATGCAGGGAAATGTTGAGTTTTCAGGGTCCATACGGCGAAAAGGCGTTTTCAATAGGGGCAAACTAAAAGAATGTCGTATTTTAGTCTCTGTGTGCGTTTCTCCCTTGCCATGGCACTTGGTCGGTGAAACGTTGAGATTTATAGTGGCAGGGGGTGTCCAATAATGTCTGAATTGTACTCTTAGGTTTTTTCGGTAAAGTCACGTAAGTAAAAATAAATGATAAAAATAACAATACAATAATAAATCACGACGTTTCGGAGGCAACACAAGTCTCCGTCATCAGGTGGGACCGTCACAGCCAAATTTACTTGTGTTGCCTCCGAAACGTCGTGATTTATTATTTAATTTCTATTATTTTTATTGTTTATTTTTACCTACGTGACTTTACCGAAAAAACCTCAGAGTATGAATTATTGCAGTCACGAAAGCTTCAAATCTAGAATTAAGGTCTGAATTGGTCTGTAATAAGATAGGAGGCACTCCGAAGGGGTTGACGGGTGTGTAGTGAGTGAGTGACATGTGTGCACTGCTGCTATACGGTACCAGACATGTGTCGGACGAGAGTGATAATTAATTACATGTAAATTGTGATCCATTTGCAGATACCCCGCCACACTTATGGGCAGAAAAATAGGGCTAGAGAAAAACAATGTTTTTACGTCAAAAACCTCTACACGTCTCCCAACAACCCCAGTGCAAAGCTTATTACATCCTTTAACAGTTTGCTCGGTAATATATGTAGACATCGCTTTCGCAATTCGGTATTTTAATCACCTGTTGAGGATAAAGTGGAGAAGGCCATACACCAGTCGTGGTATCTATATATGGATCAGGTCCATTATATACAGTACAGGGTGATCCATTTACACGTACCCCATTTGATTTAATGGCCCTGCATAAGCGGGTGGGTGAGGCCCCTATCCAGCAGTGATACACTTGTGCGAACATGGGTGTTAACGTGTATCCTTTACGGATGAAGGCCTCCAAAGCACCATGGGTTGTTTGACCATACTTCACCACGCTTAGGTCGGTACGGGTTGGTGAAGGTGCTACCCACGAGGACTGGCCCATTTTATCTGTCACTCTCGACTGATGGGAATCGAACTCAGGTGACCAGCGTTTAAAACAATGTGCGCAAACCGCTGCCTCACCGCTCCCAAAATGCAGGTCGCGTGAACGTCCAGAAGCGACACGAAGCAACATTATTAATCAATTAATTTCTTGACCCTTTCCGGATTGCCCACAATTCTAGCTTCCCAAAGTCCGGCTTCGTGAGGTTTTACTTTATTCGCATCAAATACAAGGCAAACGACATTGACAATACGCCTTACATAAATAATATTGATTGCCCTACGTATGTTGCACTTGCTTGTCTTCCAGGCTGATCTTTGGGCCGCTGTTGTTGAATGCCCCAAATGCCAGTACTGTAGTACGTAACGTAATGGCTCCAGTGAAAGTAGGATATATACACCCGAATCTTTCTTCAGGGTGGTCCATATGTCTTGTGACCTCCAATTAATTGACCCCGAACATGTTATTGCCCCTTTGAATATTCATAACTATTTTGAATTAAATCTTTCTTACAAAAAATATATGTACATTTTTAGAAAAATAAATGGGGGTCACAAGACATCTTGGCTCATGTCTTAAGTCAGTGGTGGATATGTGCCGGCATACGCCACGCCAGTCAGCCACACTGCGGCACTTCTGACAACACGTTCTGTAAGTCTACCGGGACTTTTCAGTGCCGGTAGACTTACGATCCCTATTCCTATTCTTCGACGTTTCCGCAGAGAGGGGGGGGGGGGGAACAAGGCGAGCAGGACAAATAGGTGTCACGCGGGCAACTTCTGAATTTGTATTTGACCACTGAACACACGTGTGTGTGTGTGTATAACGTTCAGCTAGCACGTGCCCCCAGATGCCAGTGGGTTAAACCCGCCGGTGGCACATACAGCAATCGTGGGTTAGGTTCCGTAATATATAAATGTCGTTAAACCCGCCACCACCCGACACAGCCCATGAGTAAGTTTGTCACGAACACAGAACATGCCAATTCGTTACTAGTACAGCACACCGGCGTGTTGGAGAGTAAATCACCAACATTTACAATTTGAGCTATATTATAAGTACGCAGACGTCGTGTTTCTGCCGTACACAAAGCAAACCACGTCAACTGCGCGACACTGTATTTCGTCTACACCATGTAGTGGATTGTGAACAGGGGAGTAGTGCGTCGGTGTGTTTCTGTGACTAGGTGACCCACATTACCGCACACACACATCTTTTCTTTACCAGCTGGCAAAAGCAAGCGCGGGTAATGGGCGCGTGAAAGAAGCCCCTATTTTCCTCACGGGGCGTGTCCGCCCACTGGGCTCGAAAGCCATTAAGGCAAAAGCGAGATGCAAGCAGCTACTTGCGCTGATAATTTCGTAGCGGATGCCGTTTAAAGGAGCTTGTGTACTGAACATACAGCCCCTTTGTGTCAATCCACTGCTGGATGAGGGCCTGTCCATCCTCTGCCCTCCTCACCACCCATCCCAAACGGGTGGATTTATCCGTGGGGATTGGTTGGGTGAACTCGGCGGGGGTGGGAGCACAGATAATGTGGGGAACGTGACGCTTGAGGATAGCAGCGATAGAGATTGCTGTCTTGAAACTGCTGCCCACAACTTAGTAACGCCCCACCACTTTACAGCTGTTGGGCGTTTGTTGTCCGTGCAAGCGCTGTCCAGGCTCAAACCTGCTTAGCTTTGCGCGTTATGACGATGAGATCGGGCACTGTCCAGGTGGCTTGGTCATAGGCGCTTAAATCAAGGGGTGAAGCAACGCAACAAAATAAGCGCCCCGTGTCTTGTAGATGCGTACCTTGACTGTGTCCTGGGATGCTTGACCCAAGCTGGGCAAGCCTTTCAAGTAACTTTCATTTTGCACCTAATTATGGCTCCTTCGTGCCATCATTGCATCAGCATATTGGATTGTACCACGGGTGATCTAGCACCCCAATGAGGTCCCATCTCATCGCATTTCGGAATACTAAGCAAGTGCTGAGACTGGTATTATAAGGCTTCTTCTGTAAGATAGCCAGGATATGGGAGTGTAGCGATGGGTTTGTGAATAGATCTTCTGAGAATTTGTTGAATGTCACCCCCTTTGTTTTCGTGGGTTTTCTTCAGGCACTTATTTCTTCCCATACTCCCGCACACTCCTTCATCTCATGAAGTTGCCCTTAAGTTGGAGCTGTTTAACCCAATGGGCTTCACTGGGGAAACTAACTTATGTTGCATCGAATTGACCACACTTCCCAATGCAGGACCCTCCTGCAAACGAATCTTGAGACTCATTGAACCTGCACGAATAAGGTGCATAATTATTATTATGGTGACATAATTCGAGCTCGTCTCTATAGTATTTAATGAAGTTTTGTACTCGTGTGTGACAGTCCTGGGCACACGGATACGTACAGGATAAGAACTGTTTATTTTGTAGCTCATATCTTATAATCAAGACATGGGGGAGACAGTGAACACAGGATTTTGGCTACAGTTTGTTTTGGGAAACACTCTCTGCTCTTTGTTGAGTTGGGGGCGAGTGGTGGTGGCTATGTGCAGTGTGAGTGTCGCGTGTAATTGTTTATGCCGTTGAGCGATTGTGCAATTGATACGATCGCAAAAGCATACCTTGCATGTGCCTGTTTCATGGAAAAATATACAAGCTGTTTGCGTTCTAAAAATAAATGCATCTGCCAAAATGTACAACCCCATTAGTCGTTGAGTGTTACGTAGGTGCGTGGAATTACGATAAACGCTTATGCAACGTGCGCTCTCAATGGAAGCA